TCTTGTGAAATAGGCAATCCATCATGAGTTTTTAATCTTTTCATTAGCACTTCATTTTAATGTACTGTTATTGTTGTTCCTGGAGACTGTCCTGAGTCCCAGGGTGAGAAGAATGACATTGTAGTATCCCTGCTGTGTCCATAGACTCGTAAAACAAAGAGGTTGCACTGGTCTTGTGTAGATTCATAAATAGGTTGGACTTCTTTACTAGTTCCTTACCTATTAGAAAAAATAATAATATTTATGGGGGAAATGGGAGAAGACCTAATTATCCACGTTTCCTCAAATGTTATAAGCACTATTAGAAAAGCATCTATTTCGATCAGCCACCAGGTAAGTTAAGTATTTTTGTTTTGGTGCGTTATTATTGGTAGTTATTTAAAGTTTTAAACATTAGTTAGTATTTGAACTAGTCTGTAAGGAGGAAAAAGCAAAGGTAGAGAAAGTAGTAGTTAATGCTAAGGCGCATTGCTGGTATTGGCTGCTGGGAAATGACAACAGAAAGGATCATAGATTTGAAGAACTAATTACCAATTGGGAATTTGGGATGCACTGCTTTTGCCTTGATTTCTTGGTTTGTACTTAGGGTTTATCTTGCTATGGTTGTGGCTTATGAGGAACTCCCTCACTCAACCCCTTTTAGCTGTTTGTAAACCCTTTTACCTTTATAAAAAACGTTTTATACTGCTGAAAAAAATAATATTTGGGGCACTATATAACAAAACAGGTGCATGTTGTTGTCGATTGTGTTTAGTTGTTTTTTAATTTTTATCTCCTTGCTAAGGAAGCTAGTACACAATCAAGGGATTTAACAAGGAGCTATAAATGTAATATTGTTTGAGTTGAGTGAATTAAAATGAAATTTAACTCTTACTGATAAAAAGCCCCATTACTTGGGGGCTTTGAGCAACTTTAAAATTAGTGACAGCCATGCCATGCAATTTTGGGGTTGTAGTAATGTAAGGTGGGATTTTGGTCATTTTCATCTTTTGAGTAACACTAAAACAGGTGACAAACTTCAAATAGGCCAAAAAAGTACAACTTACCTTACGCAAGGTGAAGTTTGCATACGAAACTCCTAGTTTATATATATAAGAGATTATTTGAAGTTCGATTTATTTTAAATGATAAACTTCAAATAGGCCAAAAAAGTACAACTTACCTTACGCAAGGTGAAGTTTGCATACGAAACTCCCAGTTTATATATATAAGAGACTATTTGAAGTTCGATTTATTTTAAAAATGTCTGAAGTTCAGTTTACATGGATGTTTACATAACACAAACGAGAATTTCTGTAAAGACATGCCAGAATACACACGTGGCAACACGGTCTAACACATGTTTTAACTGAGGGTTGTATTTGTATTGCTTGGTCCTGCAAGTATGTTGAGCCTTATGGATCATTGTTTTAAAGATAACCTGCTGAACCTTGCCCATTTGTGGCCAGGTTCCTGTCAATGAGCTTGCCCAACCCTCCTTACAAGCAGCTGGTATAGAAGTATCTGCATGTCACATGCAGACTTCACAACTTGATATTCAGACGTCAGGGCCAGGTAATGATGTATCATCCAGTCAAGTCAATAATGGCACCCCTTCCCTGCCACTTACTGTACCGTTGCAACAGTCTCCATCAGTAACTACAGTGTCCACTGAACAGAGTCAACCTAATGCACCCGCATGTAAACTTCAGACGTGGGTCCCAGGTGATGTATCATCCAATCAAGTCAATAGTGACACGCCTTCCCTGCCACTTCCTGTACAGTTGCAACAGTCTTCATCAGTAGCTACAGCGTACACTGAGCAGAGTCAACCTAATGCACCTGGATGTATACTTCAGACATCAGGGCCAGGTGATGTTGCATCATCCTATGAAGTCCATAATGACACCCCTTCCCTGCCACTTGCTGTACAGTTGCAACAGCCTGCATCAGTAACTACGGTGTCCACTGAAAAGAATCAACCTAATGCACCTGCATGTATACAGAGTAATCAGGAACGATGTAATGAATTGCTTCAGCTGTTTGAAGCTCGAACAAGGGAACCGTTGGAAGACCATTATGTAAATATTTGTCACTCTGGGCAACTGCCTCGTAATCTGTTCAGGCATGATGCTTTTCAACATTCTCAAGTTCTCGTTTCGACGGCAGATCCACCCTCCACCGAACAGAATCAACCTGTTGTACCTGCAAATACATGCATAGATCATGAGCAAAGGAATGATAGGCATGCCTCCTTTCAACAGTTCGAACCTGTCGAGGACCAAGTTGAGCTCTTAAACCACCATGATCCGTTGCCTGGGAATCAGTTCAGGAATACTGCTTCTCAACTGAATCAAGTGCCAGCAGAACCACCATCCATGGAGCAACGTGAACTGTTGAATTACTCCGTTTCACGACCCAATGCACAATCCCTGCTACATCTGCCTATTGAAATTGGTGGTAGTGGATCTAATCTGTCAAACCCTAGGATCATGAATACCGTTCCAGAGTTAAGTTCCCGACCTCCATGTAATGCTTCTGTTTCATTCCAGATTTCTCGACAGGTGTGCATTGACCCACTCCAAAATGAACTTGGAAGAATCCGTACACAAGAAGAACATACTATCAAGATGTATGAAGATGAGGTTTGTGTTTTTGGTACTGTATATTTAATTATGTACTTAGATGCTGAGTTTTTTTTTTTTTTTGGTGGGGGTCGAAGGTTGTATGTTGATTTATATATCCTCTGTTTTGTTTTTATTTCTGAGAACTTTGTTTTATGTCCAGAAAATGCGGCTTAATTATGAATGTGAAAAGGAGTTAGAAGAGGTCCGAAGGAAGTATAACACCATGATTCAGAATGCAGAGGGAGAATTTATGCAAAGAAAGAAAGCACTAGAGACAAATTACAACGTAGTAAAATTGAATCGCCGTCTCGCGGTGACATTCAGATTACACTGTGAGGCTATGACTTTGGAGGCCTCTAAATTGCAGCAAGGTATAACTCCTTCGAGACCTTATCCTTATCCGTGAACTCAAATTTCTCATTCTGATTGTGAGGATAGAGGTCCTACTACCTGGTCTTTGATTGGCAGTAGGTTCAGGACTTTATTTTCCAACTTATGAAAGAGATATCAGCTCTTAAGTCATTTTCCATAATATTTATTTAGAAGTACTATTTACAAAGTTCTCTGTTGAAGTTGAAGTGGAGAGATTGCATCCATGATTTCCAACTTCATATATTTCTTTTTTCAGGAGCACCTCTAGGATCCATGCAACAAGTATGTCGTTTGTCATCAACCCAAGCTACACAAAGACCTTGCCCTTAGCCTGGTCCACCAACAGCTCCACTTATGGCCCCACCAGTGCAGATGGCTTTCCAACCCTCCGGCGTTTTTCTCATGGAACTCCATCACATTTGAGTCTTAACCTCTCCCCACCTGCGAACCGCCAGATTCCCATCACCACTTCATCCGTTCATCGACAGTGTACACATTGGACACTCAAACTATCAATGGCACGCCAAGGTATTGCTCTGGATCTGGTTTGCGATGATGACTTTGGATAAGATGTCTGGTTAATGTCAATTTTTGTTGGCCGAGCACTTTCTGTAGATAATGCCAACATGCCGCACAAAGTTTAATTGCTTATCCCTCCTGCCTTATTGCACATAGTCCAATTGTGTTTGTCGGGAGTTCGAGGAAATTATGGTAGCTGTAGCTCCATGTCCATATAGTAACACACATGTACATTTTGCAGGGCGATGCAGTTTTGGTACTCACTTTTTGCATTTTGCCATTCTTTTTCCATCTTCCTTTGGTGGTTTTTTCACATTTTGATCTTATATTAGGGTTTATGCATAATTTGTATATATATATATCTACTTGCTACCATAGTTCAAAATCTTTGATCATGCCGGCCGAATATTCACGAATTTATCCGATATTTCAAGAATCGGATACATCAAATTTCGCGGATATTCACGGATACACGATACACGGCATCTTCTTTGTTTTCCATTGTCGGCATCTCGGAAAAATCCGGTTTTTTGAGAATCGAATATTTGATTTTGAACTATGCTTGCTACCACGATGCTTCATTGCTTTGACCTGCACAACACTGTTTCAGTCAGTGACTACCAATAGTATTCACTCCCACTTTTTCTTCAATATTTCAATAGAAAAGATACAAACAGGAAAAAAAAAATCAAAACAAAACA